TACCAGATTGTTAAAAATGCTACTTAAATAATTAAAAATCCTAAAACGAAACCTATATGTCAGGGGTAGAGGACCACATAGATCTAGGACTATAGATCCACTTGTCTGGGTCCTGGTTAGAGGCTGTGGGGCCTCAGGATGCCAGGGCTGACCACCAACGGCCTCCACACTCCAAGTAGAGTCCTGCTACTTGCAGGCGTGTGTAAGCTGGTGGTGGGTATGATGCACTCTGGTCCCTGCTCTGCACTCATATCTGGTGCCCACGACCAAGCAACTTCTGAATTTTCCTTCTGGGACACCTGGGTGGCTCAGTGGTTGAGCACCTGCCTTTGGCTCAGGGTGTGATCCTGGGGTCCCAGGATCGAGTCCCACATCAGGCTCCTTGCATAGAGCCTGTTTCTCCCTCTGCCTGTATCTCTGCCTCTCTCTGTCTCTCATGAATAAATAAAATCTTTTTAAAAAAATAAAAATAAGTAAATTTTCCTTCTGAGCTGATGAGTTATGAACCACCTTCCCCAGAAGAGGGAGAGCACTTCAGTGAGGTAGACATCTAGCTTCTAGAAGCAACAAAAATGATGCAGATGAGAAAATACTTGCAACGTGACATGAAGATGTACAGACATGATATCAAGCAAGCCCAGTATGTACATACCCTGTGTGTAAAGGAAAAACAGGGAGGACGTATGCCAATAAATTAACACTGGTTACCCCAAAACTGTGGGATTTATAGTGGCTGTTATTTTATTCTTTATTCTTTCTGCTGTTTTTCAGATATTCAAAATTACTTTTATAGTTAAAAAAAAAAAAGGAGGGTATGTGTGCAAGTCTCTTTTTCACTCTAAAGTGTGGCTGTAGGGCCAAGCCTAGAAATGAAAATTGTCTTTTGCAGCTACTCTTTTTGCAGACCTAGTTTATTTCCTGGGACAACCCAGATAATAGCTATGGCCCAAATGAGGCACTAGAGTCCACCCAAAGGTGTGCAGCAGCACTTCCCAATTGCTCTTAGGACAAACACTGACTCTTGCTCCTAGACTGGGCATCTATGGTACTTCACAAAGACAAACATAACACCAACAGCAGGGATGAAGAGGAGGGAAAGTGAGATTTAAGTCTGTTATCCATGGGATCCCTGGGTGGCGCAGTGGTTTAGCGCCTGCCTTTGGCCCAGGGCGTGATCCTGGAGACCCAGGATCGAATCCCATGTCGGGCTCCCGGTGCATGGAGCCAGCTTCTCCCTCTGCCTATGTCTCTGCCTCTCTCCCTCTCTCTCTCTCTCTCTCTGTGACTATCATAGATAAATAAAAATTAAAAAAAAAATTAAAAAAAAAAAAAAGTCTGTTATCCAACACTCGCAGGCACTGCGGCCCCGTCATCACTCCCAGCAGAGGAGGACAGTTACTACTGAAAGACTCATTTACGACAGGTTGAATGTTGCCCCAAAACATAACCGGGGTTCACATGGCCCAGAACCCAGCATGAACACATACACACCAGGAGCCTATGCTTGTGTACTACACATACACAAAAACCCCAGAACCCAGTGTCTACACACACAACACAGAATTGAACACACACATACACAGAACCTTCCACATGCATGCACAATCCACTAAGAACACAATACAGTCACAACCCTCACACCCAATGAGGGGGCAGACTTCTTAGAGCCCAAATACACACCCATCAGAATTCCACACAGGCAGATACCCCTCAGACCTAACACAGACAAACACCCCTAACAACTAACAAGGACACACATCCCTTACACCTACTAAGAATGACATTTTAGAACCCAAACGAGCACACATACCTCCCAGAATCCACCACAGGCACACAAACTTTCCTCTGAACCAACATGGGAGCTCCTCCTCAAAACCTAATACACAAAACTTCATAACCAATAACTCACCCCTCGTCCCAACACAAACAGAAAAACACCCTCAGAACCAACATGGACACACAACCTTCAGACCCAACACAGGCATACAGACCTCTCAGAACTCAATACGGAGCACACACCCTCTTCCAAATGAACATCTACTCACACCCCTCAATACACAACTTGGGCACAACAATTCCTCAAAATCCAACATGAGTGCATACACCCCTCAGACATGACACAGGCACACACACCTCAAACCCTACATGGGCAAACACATGTCTCAGAACCCAAAACGAGGATGCACACACCTGAGACCCAACACAGGGGCACAAACACACCTCAAAATCAACAGCGGTACACAACCCTCATCCAATATGGGAGCACAGCTTTCATAACCAACATTCAACATACACACCCCAGACTCAACACAGACAGAACACTTCTCAGAAACCAACATGGACACACAACCCTTAGAACACAATACTGGCATACACAACCCTTAGAAAAAACATGGATATACAACCACCGGACCCAACACAGGCACAGCGCAGGAATATATATCCCTCAGAACCAACATAAACACACAAGCCTCTGACCCAGACGGGCACACAAACTCCTCAGTAGCCAACAGAGGCAAACACACCTCACAAACCCACATGGGTGCAAACTCCTTGATGCCACCACAGACACACTACTCAGAACCAAAACAGACATCGTGGTACTCTCTGACACAACATGGGCGTACACACCCCTCACAACAAACACGGGAGTATAACACTCTGAAGCCAACATGCATGCACAGACCTCAGAACTGACACAAACACCTCAGACCTAAAATGGACACACACACCACTGAGAAGCCACTGAGGTACACATCTCCTTCGGGAACCAACATAAACACAACCCCTTAGAACCTAGGCAGGCACATTATCTCTCAAGTCAACTCAGCACAAACCTGAAGAACCAACATGGGCACATAACCCTTAGACCTGACACAGGTACACATGCCCCACAGAACCCAAGAGGCACACACACTCCTCAGAACCAACACAGACACACGACACTCTCAGCCAGCCAGGAAGCACATCCTTCAAAACCTGACACATGCACACACCCCTCAAAACCCAGGACGAGAGCACACTCCTCAGAATCAACACAAATACACAACCTTCATATGCAACATAGAGACACATCAGAAACAACAAGCACAAAAAAAAAAGAAGCAGCAGCAGCAGCAGCAGCAACAAGGACAGGCAGCCCTTTAAAACCAAATGGAGGGACACCTGGGTGGCTCAACGGGTTGGCGTCTGCCTTTGGCCCAGGGCGCGATCCTGGAGACCTGGGATCGAATCCCACGTCGGGCTCCCGGTGCATGGAGCCTGCTTCTCCCTCTGCCTGTGTCTCTGCCTCTCTCTCTCTCTCTCTGTGACTATCATAAATAAAAAAAATAAATAAATAAATGCATTTAAAAAAAATAAAAATAAAAATAAAACCAAATGGAGGGACGCCTGGGTGGCTCAACGGGTTGGCGTCTGCCTTCCGCTGAGGTCATGATCCCAGGGTTCCGGATCGAGTTCCATGTTGGGCTCCCTGCATGGAGCCTGCTTCTCCCTCTGCCTGTGTCTCTGCCTCTCTCTCTGTGAGTCTCTCATGAATAAATAAGTTCTTTAAAAAATAAATAAATAAAAATAAAACCAAATGGAACCCAACCCTCAGACCTAATACGGGAGCACACCCCTCAGAATCAACACAAACACGCACCCCTCAGACCCAACAGAGGAGCTCACACCTCAGAGCCTAACATACACAAACACCCCTCCGACAAAATCCAGTCACATACCCCCTCAGAACCCAATGTGAGTATCATACGCCTCGACCCAACATGGGAACACACAGCTTCAGACCAACAAGGACTCACAACCCTTAACATGAGCACGCCCCTCTGACCCAACACAGGATACACTCCTCAGAATCTAACACACTCACATACCCTCAGAATCAACAAGAACACACAACCTTCAGACCAAACCAAGCATACACTAACTCCTCAAAACCCGACCGGGGCTTACACACCTCGGAACCAAAAGACGTACAACCCTTATGCTCAACACCGCTTCATATACACCCCTCAGAACCCGCAGAGTCACACAACAGGTAAGCCTGACACAACCTTCAAATATAAATGGGCACACAGTCCTTGACACAACCTGGAGCACACCCCTCAGAACATAACACACACACACAACCCTCAGAGCCAACCGGCACAAACACCCCTCATACACAACCACCCTTAGGCCCAATGGGACACAAATACCTCGAACCCAGAATGGGCACAAACGCACAGACGCAACACCGGAGTGCACCCTCACCTGAGGGCTGGCAACACCGCCCCCAAACCTTAGACCCCGAAGCGCCACCAAGAATGCACAACCCTGGGATCCCTGGGTGGCGCAGCGGTTTGGCGCCTGCCTTTGGCCCAGGGCGCGATCCTGGAGACCCGGGATCGAATCCCACGTCGGGCTCCCGGTGCATGGAGCCTGCTTCTCCCTCTGCCTGTGTCTCTGCCTCTCTGTGTGTGTGTGTGTGTGTGTGTGTGTGTGAGACTATCATAAATAAATAAAAAAAATTAAAAAAAAAACTAAAAAAAAAAAAAAAGAATGCACAACCCTCACACCCGTCAGAAGCACGCTAGAGCGGAGTCCCGACGGGCAGGAGGAGCTGTCCCCCTCCCGCTCCTCCTCCGTCGCAAACCCGACAGGGGCGGCGGGACGGCATCGCCCAGGACGGCGGGCTTCTGTCCAAGGAGCCGCCCCTCCTTGTTCGGCGGCCTCACCTACTGCAATTCTCTGCTCCTCCCGAATAAACCTAGTTTTGCTGGGAAACGACTGGCAGCCTTAGCTTTAAGGTTGAGGCGTCCGCGTGCGTCCTCAGAACCGACAGGCTGACGCGAGAGCGCCCGGGGAGCTGCGCACCGGCACCGACAGCCCTCCGGGCCGGCCCACCGCCCTCGCTCTCGAGCCCGGGGCGCCGCGTGCAGACCTCTCAGCGCCTCCCCGGGGCTCGCCCCGTCAGTCCCCGCCGCTCGCCCCGGAAGCGCGCTCGCCCGCCGCGGCCGCACCTGGCGCAGCGCCGCCTCGCCGGCGCCGCCCTCCCGCTGCCGGAGCTGCTCCCGGAAGCGCGCCACCTGCTCGAGCAGCGCGTCCACGAGCGAGGGCGCCGCGTCCCCCTCGAGCGCGGCCAGGCGGGCGCGGAGGCGCTCTATGAGGGCATCCCGGGCGGCCAGCTGGTCCTGCAGGCGCCGCAGTCGCTGCCCGGCCTCGTGGTACAGGCCGCAGAGCGCCGCCGCCGCGCGCGCCGCCCCCTCCTGCCCCCCAGACCCGGCGCCCCCTGAGGCCATGGCCGTGGGCCTTGACCGCCGTTCGCGGGTGCCGCCAACTTCCGCGCCCGGGCTGGGCCGGCGCCGCACCTTCCCGGAACTTTTCCCGGCGCGCCCCGCCCACCGCCGAGAGCCCCGCCCCACACACAGCGACCGGCGTGGCCCCTGACCCGCGGAAAGGCCGTCCCAGCCCCTCCGGCAGCCCGGCCCCGCCCCCACCGCAGCCCGGCCCCGCCCCCACCGCAGCCCGGCCCCGCCCCCACCGCAGCCCGGCCCCGCCCCCACCGCAGCCCGGCCCCGCCCCCACCGCAGCCCGGCCCCGCCCCCATGGCGACGGCGTGGCCCCGCCCCCTGCCGACAGCCCGGCCCCGCCCCTCCGCAGGCCCCAGCTTCGTGACCTCGTGGTCCTCTGAGTGGCAGGCTTGCCCCAGCGGCCCGGTTCCCCTCCTCCTCCAACGTCGGGGGAGTTTTCGGGGAGTCAGCGGAGAGGAGAAGCGAGGGTAAGCCGCCTCTATGCAGCCGCTGATAGGAGGGAAAGAAGGGAGTCAAGGGCGACCTCCAGTGCTGGACCCGTGCGCGGGTCACATCCGCGACCTGCAGGCCAGGCTGGCCGCGCCGAGCAACTTGAGCAGGGCAAGGTTCCAAGAGCGGAGCCCCCGGGGGTGCTCCCTCCCAGCTGCAGGGCAGTGGCGCGGAGCAGGGCGCTGCCCCGAGCCCGAGCCCCGCTCCAAGGTATTCTTATAGCAGAAGGCGGAGGGAACTGCCCTGCTCTACCCTCACCTTCCCATCTCTTTCCTTCCCCCAACTGCCCAGACCAACCACCAGTGTGTTTCACTCTGTTTTCTTTTTCAGAATCTGCTTTCGCCCACGGTCACACCAAGCACAGCCGTGGCCTTTCAAAGGTCACCCTGCCCTGGTGTGTGCGCCTTCCCGTCTTCCACCTTGTCCCCCTCTGGTTTTCCCCTTTGTGCAGTCCACTGCCAAGGTTGGGCTGGGCCCAGGAAACACCCTGCAGGCTTGTAATCAAGTCTCATACAAGTGTATGAGCAAAGGCAGCTCAGGCTTCCTCCTCTGCAGAGGGAAGATCAGGGCCAGTACCCTCCCTCCTGGGTGGGGTTGTGGGGCCCAGAAGAGGAGGTGCACATGTCCTACACAGTGTAAGTCCACAATCCCTGGCCATGGCTATGGATGAACCGTTTTGTTTGGCTGAGGCAGTGGTAAAGACAGAAATGGCTCGGTCCCACAGCTGATTGAGGTGGGATGGTCCTCATTCTATTGCCATATATGTAGCTAGGGGCCAGTCACTTAAATGCCCTTGACCCTGGTTCTCAGCTGTGAAATGGGCATTCCAGTCTCTCATCCAACACTCTCAGGGTCACATGTATTTTGGAAATCAGAATCTTTGTATTTGACATAGGTACCTGTCATGGGGGCAGCCAGCCTCCAGAAAGGATCTCAGGTCCTGGGATCCATCCAGTTCCAGTTATTTCACACCCTGATGCCATCATAACCAATAGGATGTCACAGAAAGGATGGAGTGTGATTTCTGCAGCAGAGTTGAAAGTCCTTATGGCTACTGCCTTGCCCTCTCGGATCACCAGCTCTGCGGGAAGCCACCCTCCATATCATGAAGACACTCAGGTACCCCTGTGGGTGGCAAGGAACTAGTGCTTTGTGCCAATAGACAGCGTCATCTTGCCCACTGTTGTCAGCGAGCTGCCTTGGGGCCCCACCCTCCAGCCCGCTCATGCCTGTAGGCCGACATCTTAACTAAGCACCTGGCGCACCCCGGGCCAGAACCACCCAGCAAAGCTGCTTCCAAATCCCTGACCCATGGCAGCTGTATATATGACCAGTGTTTACCGTGAAGCTGTCAGCTAGCATTTGGGTAGTTTATTGCACAGCACTAGAAAACTCCCACATAGTATGTTAGAGTGTGCATGCTGAAGCATGCGACAGCTCCTCAAAACCAGATATATTAAAATTTCCTCAAAGACAAGATGACTGTTCAGACTGAGATAAATAAAGATGACCCAAAACCTTACAGCTCTCGAGCGAATTTCTCACCAACTTTAAGAAAAATGTTTTGCGTTTCCAAGCTTTTGGGATCTTAAAATCACAAATGACGGATGGCAGACTTCCCAACAACACGTGCCTTACAGGATGTTGTGAGGATTTGGCAGGCTCACATACTTCATAGCATTGTTAACAGACTTAACAACATGCCTGTGCCTTCAGCTAAAATCCAAGTAGTGAGTCAGGCATTGGCGATTCATGGGCAAACATCCTGATGGCGGAGACAGACCCTCTTCAAAAAAAAAAAAAAAAAAATTTTTTTTTTTTTTTTTTGCAATGTAAGGAAACTGTACAGGAAAGGGAGAAAGATAAGCAAGGAAACAAAGAAGGGACAAAGAAGGAGAAAAGAGAGGGCAGCCAGGACAGAGGGGAGTTTCAGCGGCAACCTAAGGCTGAGAAGGAGCCAGGCACGGGATGGAGTGAGTCCTGAGCAGAGGGAAGATGTGCCCCAGGAGGGGTGCATGGGTTGCTCAGCCAATGAAGCATACACTTTTGGCTCAGGTCATGCTCTCAGGGTCCTGGGACTGAGTCCCCTGTTGCGTTCCCTGCTCAGTGGGGAGTATGTTTCTCCCTCTGCCTCTCCCCTCCATTGTGTACTCTCTCTCTCTCTCTGTCTCTCTCAAAAATGAATAAATAAATAAAAATGTTTTAATGTGCCAGAGAGTTACAGGGGCCAACCTCCTGGGGAGAGCGGGACCAGATTGGCCTCTGTTAGCAGCCATGCCAAGGAGTATGGGGGTCTGGGAGTATGGGGGTTTGTCCGAGGGGGCCAGTCAGGTGCACATACCTGCTGTCACACGCCCCCACCACGACCACCACCAAACTCAAGCCCTTCCTTCCTACTTGGAGGAAGGTGAGTGTCTTAGCCTAGGCTTCCAGAACAAAATGCCACAGACTGGGGGCTGAAACCAAGGGCATCTGTCTCTCCCACCTCTGGAAGTCGGCAGCGTGAGGCACCAGCCAGATTGGTTCCTCCTTGACTTTCACGGACCCGCCTATCTCTCTCTCTCTTCTTACAGGGACACCAAGTTCTGTTGGATCAGGGCCCCACCATAATAACTTCATTCAACTTTAATGACCTCCTTACAGGCTATCTCTCCAAACACAGTCAGATTCTGAGAGTAGGGCTTCATTCAACATAGGAATTTGGTGGGGGACGCAATTCCGTTGATAACAGTGGGGATGCTCCTGAAGAGCACAGAGAGATTTTCTGCTTTTTCATAAGGTGCCCAGCATATGAAGGAAGGTTCCCTCTGCCTTTGGAAGAGGAAAGAGGTGGAACACAGAAGGACAGAAGGCAGAGTGGGCATTGTTGTGAGTCTGGGCCACCAGCCTACCACAGCCCCTGCAAAGGCTGTTTGGTCCTGTTGCACCAGCTGTGGCAAATGGAGGAGGAAGTAAACCCTCTGCCCCCAAGTGTCTCCACACCTTCCCAGCCATCCTAGCACAAATGTGAAGCTGTTACACTGGGTTTTAGGTTTACCATTTGCCTTTTTAAGATGCCCTTGCTTCTGGTGCATTGGAGCAGTAGAAAGAGCACCAGGTTGGGGGGTCCCTGGGTGGTTCAGTGGTTTGGCGCCTGCCTTTGGCCCAGGGCGTGATCCTGGTAGTCCCGGGATCGAGTCCCGCATCAAGCTCCCAGCATGGAGCCTGCTTCTCCCTCTGCCTGTGTCTCTACCTCTCTCTCTCTCTTTGTCTATCATGAATAAATAAGTAAAATCTTTAAAAAAAAAAAAAAAAAAAGAGCACCAGGTTGAAGAGACAGCCCTCAGTTCTAGGGGTGGAGTGGCCACTGCCCACCCTTCTCACCCTCTCGTACCCACCCCCACCCCCTCTCCACTCCTCACCCACTAGTCAGAAGAATCTCCTACCCCCAGCCCTAAACCCATTGTCCTTACTCACAGGACCTGAAACAAAGACCTACAAAGCCTGCTCTACAGGAAGCTGGGCAGGAGATAACAGGGAACGTTGGGTTTCCATGCCTGGCACTTGTGCACTGTTCGGATTTGTACAGTAAAGGATTAGCTATGCAGGTTTGGCTGCTCAAAATGCACACATGGCAAAGGAAGAACTGGCCTTGACCAGCTCCTAGGAGATAGTCTCAGAGCTGTTGACATGTCCTGTCTGATAAAATATCTTTGCCTGGGGGCCTCAGGCCACACCACACAGTCTATGCTAACAATAGGATTTCTGGCAGGGCCAGGGGGTGCAATGTACCAGCCTGACCCCTGGAGGGGCCGGAAACTGGGGACCCAAGGCCAGTCACACTGGTTCTCCACACCAACATCAAGGCTGGGTGAGCTTCCCTGGTTGGCAGTGAGACAGAACAGGGACTGGCCTCTGGTCGGCCATCCCTGACCCCCCAAATCTAGCATTCCTTGGTTACCTCCATAAAAAAAAAAAAAAAAAAGGCCTAAAACTCTACACCTCTTGAGCGGCATATCTTGCAGGAATGCAGAGTGAGGGGATCCCTGGGTGGCGCAGCGGTTTAGCGCCTGCCTTTGGCCCAGGGCGCGATCCTGGAGACCCGGGATCGAATCCCACGTCGGGCTCCCGGTGCATGGAGCCTGCTTCTCCCTCTGCCTGTGTCTCTGCCTCTCTCTCTCTCTCTGTGACTATCATAAATAAATAAAAATTAAAAAAAAATAAATAAATAAAATAAAAATAATAAAAAATTCTCTTTGGGGATCCCTGGGTGGCTCAGCAGTTTGGCGCCTGCCTTTGGCCCAGGGCGCGATCCTGGAGTCCCAGGATCGAGTCCTGCATCGGGCTCCTGGCATGGAGCCTGCTTCTCCCTCTGCCTGTGTCTCTGCCTCTCTCTCTCTCTCTCTCTCTCTCTCTCTCATCTCTCTATGTCTATCATGAATAAATAAATAAAACCTTTAAAAAAATAAAAATAAAAAATTATCCTTGACCTCCCCTTGGAGAGCCAGCCTGGGGATTCTCTCCTTTGTGCTGTGTCCCTCATGCTCAACCATAAACCCCAATAGGGGTGCCTGGG